GCCCTGCGGAGAGCAGCCGGCGGGGCGGAAAGCGCGTGTGAGGTTCGGGCCGCCTGGGTTTTGGTGGAGTTCGCTTTTCTAAACCTTGAAAACCACGGTGTCCTCCCCCAGGCTGTTTGTCCTCGGTCTTGACAGTTTATCTGACTGACCGGAGTGTTCGCTCTCTGCCCTTTAAAAAGGCAAAGGGGTCACGGTGCGCTTGGTTGTTCTGTCTGGGTGTGTGAGTGGGTCCAAGCTTAAACTCGGTAGAAAGCACTGTGATGCTCTTGTTACAATAACAACAACAAACAGCCACCAAACAAGCGCTCGGTGCAGTAAGAATAGCAGAGGGTTTAGGCAAAACTGCTTTGAAGTTGCTTGAACTGACTCAAAGTTGCTCTTTGGGGCCACTTTTATAATAAAGCACATCTTATGCCCGGAGCAGAAAATCCGTTTACAGTGACTGCACCTACTGAAAATAGGCTTCTGCTTCCTGATAGTACTTGATGAATGGATTATCTTTCTTGAAGGTGTGACTCCTAAAGCAACTTTTTTTTTAAGAGGGGGAGGGAAAACAGGAGAAGGACAGAATAATTTATTTGCTACCAAAGTTACCATTACTAAAACTAAGCTGGTGTTGTGAAAGGTGAATTCTAAAGCTTAGTAGGTATGGGGGGAGGGAGGATTGGTTTGTTTGTGGGGGTTTTTTCCCACTTAAATACCACGTTTCAGAACTTTGACCTTAAAACTTTGAAATTTTTGGGTGATTCCATTGATGTCATCAGACTGTCCTGCTGGAAATTTAATTGTATTCAAAATCCTACTTATAGTGGGCTGTACAATCTGACTCATAAATTTATTCAGGATAACAGAAGATAGCACTGCTGTTCTACTGTGTACAAGAGGAGATACTAGCTACAAGGCAGGAGCCTGGGGAATGTTCTTCCTACCAGTCCACGTTTTGTATTCAAAATAGATCATGCCACAGATTTTTCTCATCTGTGGTGTTAATAGGGCTTTTGTTTTGTGGGGTTCCCCTCAGATCTGAGACCCTGTGAGTTTTATGTATGCTTAACTAAATGCCTGAGAGCACATTGTAATCAGTGTCAGCGCAACATCAATCAGATGAGAGTAAGTCAGGGTTTAAACGTATGCGCGCAGCAAACGTTGACACATGCACGCCCCATTCCTCTTCCTAACGTTGTTACCTTCAGCCAGCTGTTAGTGCCCTTCTCCTGGAGGCACCTGCAGGAGAACTGGCAGCATTGGAACATGCAAACACCAGTACAAAGTCTGACTGCTCAGATTGAGCTGTAGCAGGAGGAGGTTGAGTTAAACTATTGGACTTTGCATTGAAGCAGCTGAGTACTCACATCGCCTTGCTGTTTCCCTGCTGGGAGGCACAGCTTTTGCAGTGGAAGTAATACAACAGAATGGTAAAAGCTAAAGTCCCTGTAGCCAATTGCCCAATTAAATTTTAAATTATTATACTAATGTTGTGCAGAACCAAATTATTTTATAGTTCTTCTGTAATACAACAAATAGATTTTGTTCTGTGAAAAGGGATATTGAAATGATGGGAACAGAAGGAAGAGGGGAGAAATCCTTTGAAAATTCCATGATGAATTTGAGAATATCAGCTATATTAATCTGATACCAATTAAAACTAAATGATGGTTTTAATCACATTACATGCTGCTGTCCATCTAGGAGCTGAAGCTGCCCTCCTACAAAGGCCAATCTCCCCAGTTACATCTGAGAAGATACTTTGCAGATCTGATTGCCATTGTGAGCAATCGGTTCAGACTCTGTCCTGCTGCACGACATCTAGCTGTGTATCTGTTGGACCTCTTTATGGATCGTTATGACATATCTATACAGCAGCTGCATGTGGTTGCTCTTTCCTGTTTACTTTTAGCAAGTAAGTATGTAGCACCAAACTAACTAGAGCAATATAGGTTCTACTGCCAAATACAAGGCGTGTCTTGATGGGATACAGCAGATAGGGAAATAAAGGGGTTATAAAAGACAGGCACATTAGTGTGTATCAGTTTGGCCCAATTGGTAGAGCCTTTCTTTAGACTCTTGTTTTGACTTCTGTTGGCGCCTGATGAAACTGAGGGGAGAAAAAACAACCTGTGATTAAAAACCAGTGTTTATAGTTGGAAATAAATTATTCTAAGGTTAACTTTTGGAGCTGTATTGTAGGAATAGAAAGACTGTCTTTCTGAGGATGTCTCAAAATAGGTAGATCCAGTGCTGGTAATGAGAAATTTGCATACCTGCGATAAAGGAAGAAATTAAATATACCATACGGAGGCTGCACTGCACTCTGCTGATGGTGCTGTGTGGTTCTGAAATACTTCAGACTTCATAAATTGCGATGTTTTTTAAGCTAGCTAGGGCTAACGTAAATCCTGTATTGTCACATACCAAATGTAATGCTGGTGAAGTACATTGGTGAATGCGCAGTACTCTGAAGACAAAATGAATTACAAACCTTCATTATGAACAGTGCTGCTTATATTGACCTCAGGTAGATTCTTGTGGTGTACATCCATCTTTCAATATTTGTGGACCCCTTTTAGATGTCCTCAAAGAGATATGGGTGTAGTTTGCTGGAAAGCCTGCTGGCACTTGCTCTCAAACCAATAGATTGAGAGAAACAGGTCTTGGCAGTAGAACTAACTGATTGAGTTTCTGCTGATCTGTTTCTCTGAATTTATTTTCATTTTCTTATATATCACGTTGTAGCTCTATGCCCTCTTCACTAGAAAACCAGAGCGCTGAGGTGTTGGCTGTCTTTGGTATATGGCTTCCTTTCATTGCATCCCTTGTGTCCACCAATACAGCTATTCAGCAGAACAGTTAAACAAGAAAAGGGTTATTTCAAATTCTTCTGGGGGTAAACTTTGACTGGATGCCACCAATCAGCAATCTTCCCCTTGGCAAAGGATGAGGTGCCGAGTATGAAAACCTTGCCTTAGAAACCAGTGTAATCTATTTAGGAAAATGGGTTGGCTTTGAACTAATGCCAGATTTTCAAATGACATTAATGTTCTGAAGAGAATTATAATTAAAAAAAACAAACTCTGCCATCTTTCATGACAAGCTGCAAGTAGAGCTCCGAAAGCCTGGAGTACTCACTTTTGAGCAGCAGTGTATGAATTGGTTCAGCAAGCACACACCAGAATGCTATTTTAAACTTTTGCCCTGTGTGGCTTAAACAAGCAGTTTAATCAGCAGTGCAAGAAGTTGGACAAATCACACTGTGGTGTATCTGATAAGGTTATAGAAGTAATAAGAGAAATTATTATGTGACTCCTGAAGCTTTTAGTTCTGTAATTACTAGAGTCTGGGAAACAAAAACTAACAGACTGGGACTGGTGTTGGATTAAGTCCTGTATAATACCTCCACTGTTGAAAAAAAGCATTCAATATGTTCAGTCCTGCAAAACTCTCTAAAAACATGCATTTACAATATATATTGTGTAATACTGAATAGAGAGTGTAAGATGGAAAGAATTTGCAATGAAATTGAAATAGCACAACCATATGGCAAACTGTATGGAAATGTGACACTTGTTTCTCTTATTAATGGGCTTTCTACATATACAATTTTACTTCAGGCTAAAAACATACAGGCCTGACAAGTTAAAGTCCAAGGAAGGCTGAAGCTACTAGCAGTGTTAAAGTTGAAACAGTACATATGGCAGAGTAGGTTTTCAGATGCACGTTGCTGAAATCCACTTATTGGAATGCTGGAGCATCTTATCAGCTATCAAATTTAAAAGTGTACCTACCATAACAGGCATTAAAAGCAGCCATGTTGGCTAGAGCTCTAATGAGTTTTAGAAACAAAAAGGGGATGTGGGGGCAGGAGGGTGATTAAAGCCCAGTGCTGTGGTGTTGCATATGCCAAGTCACATCACAGTGGTATTTCATTGACAATGGGGACACATTATACAATCGTTTGGTGACAAAATCCTGTGTCTGCAGTGCCAGTGATGTCCTAATACAGCTTACTGCTGCTCTTGGCAGCTGGCTTCTGTGTGCTAGGGAGGGAAAACCAACAGGAAACATGGCACTGCACTATATCCTACAGGGTGTTTGATGTTATCTGCTGAAATTGAGCCCTTTATAGTACATGTCTCTGATGACAGATTTTTGTCCCTGATGACATCTTCCATTTGAGCTTTGCATCTGCAGGAAAGTCTTAAGCTTGTTTGACATAGTAGAATTGAAATATGACCAACACAGACATTAGATACTGTCTGTTTTATAGTACACTTGTGCTGAAGCTTTTTTCCCCCTCCTCTTTCTGTTCACCTGAAGGTAAATTTGAAGAAAAGGAAGACAGTGTTCCCAAACTTGAACAGTTGAACAGCTTGGGTTGTATGACTAACATGAATTTGGTACTAACAAAACAGAATTTGCTTCACATGGAGTTGCTGTTGCTAGAAACATTTCAGTGGAATTTGTGCCTCCCAACTGCTGCTCATTTCATCGACTATTATCTTTCTATTGCTGTCCATGAGACTGATCTTCATGATGGCTGGCCAATGGTTTGCTTAGAGAAGACTAAGTTATATATGGCAAAATATGCTGATTACTTTCTGGAAGTATCACTGCAAGGTGAGTTACGTATTTCAGGTAATCACTCCTTTGTTGTTGTGACAGACAATGTCCAACTTAAATTAATCTTTTTCTTATTCCTTCTTTCTAGATCATGCATTTTTAAATTATGCCCCTTCTTTAGTTGCTACTGCATGTGTAGCTTCTTCAAGGATTATATTGCGTCTCTCGCCAACATGGCCTACCCGACTGCATCATCTTACTGCATACTCCTGGGATTTCCTAGTTCCATGTATTGAGCGACTATTAATGTAAGTTAACAGCAGCAGCTTTTTTTAAGCCCGTTTCTGCATCTGTTGGTATGCTTAATTGCTGTTAGCACTGAAAGTAAACTTCTCAAATTTCAATTTTTCTATTCTAAAAATACTTAGGTATTAGGTAATATTGTTAAGTAATAACTGTTTTGTTCTTTCCAAAAAAGAATACCTTATCAGATCTAACCTGTTTCCTGTTCTTTCAACAAACAAACCTCAGGCTTGCATTTCCACTGAACATCTTTTGGCATGCTTTGAGAATCTGTTAAATAACTTATTCCCAATCTCTGTAGTCTGCTTAGAAAGGAGAAAGAGATAGTGAAGAATACTGAAGGCATAGCAGCTCCTACTTACTCTGAAGAAGTAGAGGAAGTTCAAGGGATGTTCCAAACGTTATGGATCAAACACGCAGACTGTTAGAGTGGCCAGCTTTGGGGGGAGGAAATGACCAGGAGGTTGTATCCATTTTTGCACTACAGTGGAGAGATACAGCTAACATCAGATAAAAATGCCAACGAATGCCAAGTCAACCTTACTGGGAGGGGATGTTACACAATCAGTTCTTCTAATCTAAACTTGAAGATCAAAACCTATGCCTACCATAACTGCTTTCCTCCTACAGAAGTTTGCTCTTGCCCAGATCTAAATACAGTTGTGCTCCACAGAAGTCCAGGAACAGCTGTATGTGGAAGAATCGCATCTTCTTTATAAGTGTGACATTATCACCCCTGATGGCCTCTTTTGGCTTCAGTAATGTGTGTAATGATGCAGAAGTGTTTTCAGTATTGCTCTGGAACACTTGGGGGCGGGGGGGGGGGCAAAGCCTTTCAGTCATCTTTGCAGTGCACCATAAAAACTTAGCAATCTTTTAGGAAAAACTCATGAGGGGTTGAACCCCAGCTGTCTTCAAGAGATCTGTCCTGTATAGGCAGTACCAAGAAACTTAGATGATGTTAGGCCTGACTGAAGTGTGTAGGTGGCACCTGCTTAACCTTGGTATAAGAGCAAGAGTATGTCTAAATATATTTGAGACAGGTGTAAATCAAAGGGAATTCAGGTGAGCTAAACTGTCTAACTTAAGTACTAGATAGGCTAGAAAAAATGTGAGAGGAAGAAAATAAATGTATTTCCACTCCACAAAGAAGGATCCAATATAAAGTACTGTAATCTAGATCTTTAAAAACCTTCTGATATCATGTCTTTAAAACCCCTATACTTAATTACCCAATTTAAATGACCTAGAAGCAGCAAGTAAGTTTTAATGTCACATTCTTGTGATCTGGCACTTTATGGCAGTACCTGTTGTCTGCAATCTGGCAGACTTTATTGCACTGGTAATTTCAGATACTGCTGTATTATTTGTGTTGTACTTGGCTTTTATCTGCATTTTGTATTGCTATGAAATGAAGTGAAATGGTGAAAAGATACTGTATCCTAAAGAAACAAATTTTAAAGCTTTGGATGATTTTAAAGGGTAGGCTAAAATGATTTGCTTTCTTTTTTAAAAAAAAAAAAAGCTTTGGAAGCTTTTAAAAAAATTGCACCATTTCTTAGAGTGCTCTTAAAAGTTAACCCAAAAGAGTTTAAACTATTTTAATATCTATTTTCATGTATTCTGTTTTCTCAATTTGTTTTAGTGCGCACGATAACGATGTGAAGGAAGCAAACAAGCAAAAAGGACAACATGCTCAGTCTGCCCAACATACTGTATTTCAGACCCCAGCTCCAACTCCCCAGCAGGCTAATGCTCAACAGCACATACCGCAGTATCTCCAGACTCATCAGTCTTCATTACAGTATCACCATCAGACATCGCAGCAGCAAAACTGCCAACAGATATTATCATCTAATCATACAGCATCTTACCCACTTCAGACTTGCCCTGCTGCCTTACAGTCTAGTGTTCAGGCTCGAGGCCATGTACAGACTGGTGCTGCGATGTCACTAGCTGTTCCGCTAGAAGTGAAGCCATGCATAAGTGTCTCCTACAACCGGAGTTACCAAGCGAATGGACGATATTCCTGTATTACTCCCTGCTTTGAGAGGTGATAAGTACAAAATGGTTTTGTGCTTGTTTGTTTGGGGTGGGAAGTTGTGTTGAGGGGAATTGTTTTGGGGTTGGATTTTTTTTTTGTTAAACCTCAAATAAGTTTGAGGACAACAAATTGAATTGAAAAAAAAAAAGTGTCTTTCCAGAAAAAAGCAACTGGATTGGCAACCACTATCGTAGCTCAAATACAGACTGCAAAAGATAAGCACACAGAAAAAACACCCTCTAAAAAGAATGTGTATACCTGGGGGTAATAAATCCTTACTGTGGCACTCAGAATACTCTGTGCTTTTAAGGCACATCTTTGAAACACTAGTCAAAAGGAAAATAGCTGTGGACTAACTACAGGCTTACCTTTTAATGAAGGAGATATGCAGTATTATTTTGAAGACATTTATGTAATACCACCAAACAGTATTAAAACTTACTTTAAATTTACTGAAACTTAAGAATCCATTGAATGCCAGACTTCTCCAAATGCATGGGGACCACACGAAGAAACCTCATCTGGCTGACTCCATACTCTTGCCCCTTTTTGAGCACTTGCGTTGGACATTTGCTTTAGGCTAAGGCATTTGAGTTAACTGGTATTTTGGCTAGTTTTTAAGTTTTGTACCTCACAGGATAGACACTATGTTTTTGTTACTTTTCTCTTCCCTATCCTTTTTATGTTTAAAGTAACTCTTTCTTTCATACTAACTCAGGGAATTTTCTACTCATTACTCTGTGCTGCTGGTTTGTACACTTCATTGGGTATAACTTGAGGGAGGAAGGTAGAAGGGGAAGAGAATGTAGCAAGTGGAGTGGCTTTTCTTCAGGGCATCTATATGCGGAGTACCAAAGGGATATGTTAGTGTTCACAGACTGTAGATGTGAACTGCTGCCCAGCAGTGTGGTATGGAGTAACTGAAGAAGAGAGAAAGTTTCAGCTGCATTTGTACTGTACCAGAACTACTACCACGGCTGTGATTCCTCTGTGTGCACATATACGCACATGTGTTGTTAACCAACAGAAAGTGTCCTCCAATTGTACTGACAGTATTACTTGTGCAAAAAGAAGTACGGTTAAAAAGAAATCCAGTTCTGTCAGGCTTATAGTGGAGGGAAATTCTCAGGTAATAGTGGGGCAACTTTTTCTACTATTTGGGAGTTCCAGAAAAAAAGGCAGAGATTTACTCTTCTAAACGAGTGGATCAAAAATATATTGCAGAGGTAACTAACTGCTTTATCACAATTAAGGTGCTAATTACAGAACTTGAAGGAATTACACTATCTGCTGTGGAGTGGATAGTCTGAGGGTAGAAAGTGTCACTCATCCAACTCTTGGATGAAAATGGTGGTAGAGATATTAATGGAGGATTATTTTTTTTTTAATATAAGAAGATACCTGACTTTCTCCTGTGGTAGAATATGGGAGGAAGAGACATGGATGACAGAATTCTTACTACTTTAAAATATCTTTATAGTATGTGGGCTTAAGGCTTTTTTGTTTGTTTTATTTGTTCCTTTACCACCTTCTTCTCCCCATCTTAGTGGCAGCACTTAAAATTGTGTACCATCCAATGACACTGAAATATTGTGAATCTTACAGAGGCTGTGTTTTGAAAGTAGGGGCAATTAAGATACATTACCAATATAAAGATGAAGACTTTCCCCCCCATGGGAGGGGGGGGCCTTACCATAATGTTCAGAATGGAGGGAGGACAGCTGTGTTCATTCTTTCTGGGGCTGAATGATGACATACTACAAAAACCTATTTATTGTTGAGGAGAAGAAATCCTGTTTCTCTTTGGTTTTGTTTTGGTTTTTTTTCCCTCAGAAATCACAATTTTTGTTGTGGGCTTTTGTAGCATGTATGTGCAAGTCAAGAGGGATAGGAGGGTGGATGAAAGAGATGACCCTCTCTGCTTTATGCTAGAGAATCAACCTTGGAAATAGACATAGTGTGGTCAATTCTTAAAGTGCAAGTTGGTTTGGTTTTGGTTTTTTCTCTCCTCTCTTCATCTCTTAATGAGTATTTCCCCATGTCTGAGAGTGCTGTTAAGTAGAGACTTTCCACCTCATAAGATGCCATGCTGTTTATTCAGCATTGTTACCTATTTTAAGAGGGAAAGGGACTTCTTTCTGCAGTTTCATTTTGTTGCAATGCTATATCCAAGTCCTCAGTGCTCTAACTACCTCTGATGCTATGAATGTACAGTCTTGTAACAGACCATGACTTGACATAACAGCAGATGCCTGTAGCAATTTTTTTTGTAAAATCTTTAAATCAGCTAACTTATCATCTTTATTTGTGACACAGCAGTATAGGCTCTTCTTTTTTGGGGTATTAGTAAATTTATCCCATAGGCATTTGATATATAAAAATTTAACTAATACTTAACACTGGAATTAAATGGGCGGGGGGCTTATTCAGTTAGTTAATACTGCAAATTTACATTTAATGGGGTGTTTTTTATTTGACTATTTTAAGACATTAGGTCAACTGTAAAAAGATCCACTACATACTGTTTGTTTTTAATTTATTGTTTAGTTGTATTTTTTCTGACACTACAGCTGCATAATGACTACAGAGAAAATGTACACTGAACAGTTTCAATATATTATTTAAAAGGGCTTTACCAGTGTACATTAGAAATACACTGTTCTTACTATTAGAACCAAAATGTGGTTTTTATGGCATAAATAAGAATGGTGCTCCTAGATGCAAAATGTCCAAAACAATGGAATCTTTGTGAGTGCTATGCATTCAACTTATTTTTAAAAATAAAACTAGTTTTGAGTAAGAAGGCTCCAGTGTGTATTATGCTTTTGTGTGTGTGGCTTTTTTTTAAAATATGTAAACTGACCCTAATCTGTCTTGCAACATCTCTGTGTATGGGCTGAAGATGTAAGGACTTTCTTCTTTCTCCCCACTCTTTCTGTGACACAATAATAAGCTTCAGGAACACTCTTGACTTTACAATTAAAAAAACAAAACAGGAAGGAAGTCATGCAGGAAGGGGCTTTAAAACTATCTGTACCCACAGCATATGCTAAACATTGTACACTTCAACAATGTCTAGTGCACAGCTGTAACAAAGAAATCAAGAACAAAAGAACTGTAGTAGTTCAAGAACAGGGAGTGAACTCATTTTGTTCTCATTTTAAAAAAAAAAAAAACCACCACAGTGATAGTGGCAGTCCTGTATTTCTAATACTAGAAATCATTTAGGAGATGTTGGAATAGCCTTTTGTCAACAGCTATAAGCACTTAGATTATTTACAATAGCTGTGAAGGCTTAATCATGCCAAAGGCAGCATAAAATCATGTGATGTACCCTAGCAAAATTATTTTTGGATGCTTGCAATTTCTGATAGTTGCTCCTCACTGAAATAAATTCTAGTTGTTCTTAATAATGTGCACATTTCACACTTGTAACAAGGCTATGTGATTATTGCTAGAGCTCCAAAAATTAAGTAGGTTGCATAGAATTTAATTCTTCTAAAGTTAGAAGATGAAATTGTGAGGTCTCTGTCAGCTTGCACCCATCCATTTAGGAATAAACTGATTGAGAAAACCCTTCTAGAGGGCCTAGAGCCAGAGGGAGAGCAAGCTCTACTCTGTCCCACAAAGGAACAAGGGCAATGCTCCAGTATGGCGGTGGCATGCATATTACATGGATACTTTGGTGTAGAAAGTTTTGTTCTCACCCTTAGGGCAGCAAAAAAGTCCATCTAGACTCCTTGAGATCAAATTTTTAATATTTTTTTACTGTAATTATGAAATAGGAACTACCCATGATCTTTATAAGTCTCTACAACTAAAAGGACTCCCAGCTGCTTTTCAATATTTCAGTAGAAGTCACAACTTCAGATTTTAAATTGCAAGTCAGAGGCTTTTTGTGTTTGTACATAAAAAGAAAAGCTTTATCTCTGCTTCCCATGACCCAGGTTCATTATCTACATTAAATATGAGGCTATTTATATTCTTCCATTTAGCTTAAAAGATGAAATTTAAAGTTAACAGTTTAGTGACTGGCACATCACCAAAAAACAAAGTTTTTGCAACTGTAATACTGCTGTTAAGAATATGTAAGGCAGAAAGTAATGTAGCATCCTCCCTTAATAATTCATTAGCTCTACATTCTGAATGTTGACAGGAATAGAAGTCTCTTGAATAGATAAGGCCTTATCTGACTGAACACAAGTACCCAGTTAGTCTTACTTTATTATAAGGTTGTCAACAGCAACTTTTAAGAACACCACGTAAAGTGGCAATAACAAAATACACACTTATTTTTAGTCCCCATTACAATGACATTTTGGAATTTATGACAAGCACATACATTTGTGAAGTTTAAGATTTAATTACAGAGAAAAAAATTTGTAATGTAATAGATGTCTATAACTTCAACAAACAAGACATGCATTCTGACAAAGGAAAGCATGTGCTATTAAACATTCAAGAGAAAAAACCCAATACTTAGAACTGAATAATTAAAGAGTAACTGTATAGAAAGTAGCTCCAGGTTTTCAAAATTCTCAGTGCAACCAAGGATGTGGGCTTCTGCTGCCAGTCCTACCAAAAGAAGAAGGGAGTCTTAAGGAAGACTTACAGGTATTAAAATTGCAAACCTGAGATTCAGTATTACAATGTTCATATTCACCAGTGCAAGTCAGTTAAATTGCTGTCACACCTATTAGCTGGTATATGCATTCTAAAACTGTTTAAAAATATTACTTGTTTTTCTTTGAACATTTGAATTTACTCTCCTGAAACAGCAAGACAAAAGAACACTTCCATAGAACAACCCATTAAAGCTGTCTTAAAAGAAAGTATGCATTTTCCATATTCTATGAATCATTTAAGAGACCACTCTAAGGCTATATATTCTTTAGGAATTTTTTCCATGCTAATCAGTCAGTAATTACTAGGAGATTTATAGCCATTAGAATGCAAATTTATAGTTTACTCCACAGATAACATATAGTTAGAATTTTCCTATAACAAAATAAC